TCCTGCTGGATTTTCTTGTGGTCCAGGCACTGGGCGTGTGTCTGTGGAAAGGAGCAGTCAATACCTGTTCCTATCCTTGTGACTGTTGACAAGTCATTTCTGTAAACAATAACACCTATTGCAGAAGATGTGTTGTGAGGATGGAGCCATGCATATTTGAAAGGTGCCCAGATCCATGCGCGTGTACAGCACCTAGCACAATGGGGTTTTGGTCTATGATCTGGGCTGCTATGTGCTGCCAGACTACAACTAACAAATAGCATGGCGATGGCTGGCTTTATCTGGCCACCACTTGCATCTATCCTCATACCAAATGGTACCCTTCATGTGGCATGATGTCACATGTACAGTACCTGCCATGATCATGCTGTGCTGAGGACACCATCCTGCTCTTTAAAACGATAATCGTGTCCTTGTAGCTGCGAGGTCATGCTGCACAGAGGATGCCATTTTGATTCTGGATGTTGCCTGCAGAGGTGCCAGACCCTTGCTAGGGTGGAGAGGACCACTGTGGGGACCCAGACCCTTGAAGAGGGGAGTAGGCTGCTCCATGGGGTGGAGAACCTGCAGAAGGAGAGACACCCCATGGGCCCAGGTAAGGCAAATATTGGGCCGTTAGGGTACCCTGCCCGCTGTGGGAGATACGTGAGGAGGGTGAGACACAGGGCATTTGCCCTGTGCTGGCCCTTTAAGGGTAAAACCCCAGGCCTGAGGGAGGGCTGAGAGCAAAGCCCCAGCTGAGGCAGTTTTGGCTAATGAGGGCCCAGCTGGGGGCTATATAAAGGACTCCTGGGGGAGAGGAGGACTGGTTGCTGCTCTGCACAGAGAGCAGTAAGGACCTGACTGCTGGGGAAGCAGGAGGCTTCCTGGGGGTAGAGCAGGGCTGGGGAAGGCAGGCAGGGCTGGGGAAGCTCTGGCCATGTGAGCTCCCAAGCTGCAGGGCCTGAAGCAAGGCCCAAGGCAACTAGAGATGTAGAGAGGCAGCCATGGGAGGCAGGGGCAGCAGGTCCACACCCCTTTGCCAATTATGAGTGGCCATTACAGCCTGCAGTTTGCTAGGGTTGCCAGGTGTCCGGTATTGACCCATACAGTCTGGTAGCTTCACCTTCTGTCCAGTAAAAACAATTCAGAAAATACTGGACACCTACAATTATTCTCTTCCCCTCCTCCCCCACTCTTCTCTCTTCCCCTTCCCCTCAGGAGGCAAAAATACCGGGTGCTTACCTAGTTCTGCAAAGGAGCTGCCTGGCCAGGAGCAGGAAGACAAAATGGCAGCCTTAGGGACAAAAAGCCTCAAAAGCATTTTTAAAAGCAACTATCTATAGGAATGTTATTCATGACTTTACACGCCTTTTTGTGTGTGCAAAATTCTCATTCATTCCATTCCTAATTGTTAGTTCACTTTCAAGCCTCACCAATCTCTCTAAAAAAAATAAATCTTTTCTTACTGAGTTTTGAAAGCATAACATAGTTGTTCATGTCTTCGTTTCACAAGCATTACACATTACATTAAACAGTGTCGTTTAACCCAATTTATCCCCGAAGGGCTACATATAGATCTTAAAGTTCTCTGTGAAGCCAAATGCTGGAGGGCTTCCTGAGCTCCTTGTTATCTGTTTGAAACATCTGGCTCGTGGTCAGATATTTCATGTTATTAACTTCCACTTTTGTTTCTGAAGAAATTAACACTGTTTTCCTGGATTCAGAGGGCTGGCTGGTTCTGCAGCGGTTTGGGGTTTGACTGTAACAACTTATCATTCCTCCTGAACTCAGTCATTTATGGAGCCTGCAGAATTCTAATGTTCCTCAGACTCTAAAGTGTTTGTTTAATCAACAGCAGACAGGCAATGATTAAGAGAGACTGTTTGGCTCATGCTTTAGTGGGACCAGATTTGCAAAGAGATCCTCACACACAGTGTCCCTCCAGTCCACTAGCTGGTTTTTGGGAAAGCTACTTGCTTATTTTGGAGCCCCTATGGGAATTTATTTGCACTACTCATCAGTCTCAGGTGTGGGTGCTAACTGAACACTTTTTGGGGAAAAAAATCTGACCACAGTGACTCACCTGAACAGTTCATCAGCACTGAACTTCTTTGGCTTATATTGTTGTCCATAGGACTTTTTATGCATCTGATTCAAAAGTGGCTTTCATTTCTCACTGTGCCTCTGTCAGTTTTATCAAGCAGCAGGAAAGCGCACACAGAGCCCTGGAAGTCTGAGCCACAGTTTAATATCACTGCCCACTACTGTGTCATGCATACTAGAAAGAGAAAGGATGGATATTTTCGCTTTGTTAGGCTAGATCGAGTCACCGAGCAGACACAGAGAACAGTGGGGAAGTAAGAGGGATTGAATCTGTCTGATATTGATATAGTGTAGTCCTTATGGTCAATCACTCATTTTACATTGGCTGAAGGAGACAAAACCACATGTCTAGGCTGATATATTCAAGGCTGCCTATAGAACTGAACCCTTCCATGCCTATTGGCTTTCATGGGAATGGACAACAACATCTCTTAGATGTGGTGTATTGAAAACAACAATAAATTTTCAAGTAGTCACTTTATATTTTAGGGTTCCCTCCACCCTTGGCTCCACAGGGAAGTGTGCGATCTGGGTGTAGTGCCAGCCACACTAAAGTAAGGTAAACTGTACCACGCTGCTCTGATTTAGGGGAGCAACCTGCTTTTCTCTGTGTTTCTAGATTCTTGTGTGTTACCATTTGGAGCTTTAAGGAATGAAGTAGTGTTATACTGCAACCTTCTAGCAAGAGAATGGATCTTTTTATCTGGCTTTACTAACCATTCACCATGAGCATGAAACTTGAAAACTTAGCCTCAACCATCAAAACAACCTTAGCAAGCAAAGGCTGAGAAGTCTCCTTACCTTGAGAACCTCCTTGATAAATGACACACACACCATTTCCCAAACTCTCACTGCTTTCCATAACTAGCCTCACCTCTGGAAAGGCACTGGGAGACCAGAGACGTCACACCATGTGTATGTGAGGGAAAGGAGAGACAGAAGTTCATCTCATCTGCATACTGATGACATCATAGTCCAGACCACCTAACTGTCTATAGCAGGTGTCTCATATAGTCCTACTTAAAGCCCTGTTTTATGCACCACTGCTATACCACTTAAAAAAACAGGGCAGTAGAGGAAGGTAGCTTAGACAGGGGACTTAGTTTGTGTACATGCCTTGGGCTGGCTTTTTGCACAGGCATGAATTTTACCAGTAATGATTTTGATGCCACTACATCAGCTATAGCCTTGTACACCTGCATTATATTTCTCTGCTCTCTCACTCTCTCAAGCCAAATCCAACCTTCTTTTGTACCCACGCAGTCTCAGTGAAGTCAGCAAGATTGCACAGAGACAAGAGGGCGGGCGGAAGAAGACAGAATTCAGCTCTTCTAAATCAGTATCCTCCCCCTTTAAAAAAAAAAAAACCCTCCACACTCTATCCATTGCTAAATCTTTTGCAGTAGCTTTTTTAAAGAACTGCTCAGCTAATCCTCTGACTCCGTGCCATGCTGGCAGGTACAGCAAAGCCTAAGGCACAAAGTAGAGCATCAAAAGGAAAATTAATGTCTTCTAACAGCAATTAGAGGAAATTATTTAGATATAAATCTTGTTTTGTATCTTCTCATACTTGTTTTTCAATCTTTCCCCTTTGATTTTTTTTTCCTTTTAGGCTTTTCAGAAAGAAACATTTTAAATCCCTCCTGTAAACCACTGGCATAATTAGCTGCATGTTACACCTGGTATTTTACTCTTCTATAGAGTAAATCCCTTTCAGCTTTCTTTTTCACTAGGCCCTGAGGTCTCCAGAAACTGACTCTACTTGTTGTCTCAGCTGCCTGCTGACAGCGGTGGCAGAGGAACCGAAACACACGCTCAGATTTAAGACCGCCCTCCTGCATTCCGACTCACCTCGCTTATTCTCATCCTCAGGCTGCTACAGCAAGAGACCTGCTATCAGGACAGGAAAGCAGGTCTTGGAGTTCCCACTGAGCAGACCTCACATTCGGGCACCATTGGCCTAGACTGCAAAGCGACGCACATCACCTAATTATGCTCTGATAACATCAAACAAACTCTCTCTGATCCAGCACCTGGCAAGCTGCCAATGTATCTAAAGTCTGATCTGACAAGCATGTTGATTGATCAAATAATTATCTAGTAGGTTAGATGTGTTGCCTAACAAGATCCAAGTTCCTTCGCTGCCCTCTTCCTTTTCCTTGAGAGACCATGAAGATATTGACATGGCACAGCAGTGCGGGCTATGCTACCGTCTTTTATCAGATGGTGGATAATGACTTACCTCCCCATTACCCACCACTGCACTATGGCTAAATCTGCAGAGGAAGTTGAAAAGTGTACAGTAACACTGCACATCTGTTTGGGACAAGAATACAAGATGACCATAGTCAACTGGAAGGGCTGAGAGCAGGCAAAAATGTATCTCCCCAAAGTAGAATTTGACCAGAACATAAAAGTAACACATGAGGGCTGTGTCTAGACTGCATCCCTTTTCCTCTTAAAATAAGGAATAAGGGATCTTTCGGAAAAGGCTTTATTTTCTGAAAGATCCCCGTCTAGACTGGCGCTTTTTTCCGGCAAACCCAAATCCCTCAGTCTCTCCTCATAGGTCATATGCTTCAGCCCCCTAATTATTTTGGTAGCCTTCTGCTGGGCCCTCTCCATCCTTTCTATAGTGGGAGGCCCTGAACTAGACTCAATACTCCACATGTGGCCTCACCAGGTCCTCTCATTTTGCCACTACCAATTCAGGTTAAATACTCATTAGGCCAGCTGTTCATAGGTGCTGAAACCAGGGTGTGCTGCACACCTGGGCTTGGAGTGGTTTCTATTACATACAGGGCTTACAATTTGGTTCAGTAGCTCTCAGCACCTTCACTCCACAAATTGTTCCAGTCCCCCTGCACCTAGTGCACTTCCTTAGGTCCTATTTCAGAGTCAACCTTCCAAGGTAATTCGTTTGGTCAGATACTTTGTTTTAGCCACATAAATAATGAAACAAACTCCATGGGGCGCTGGCACTCTATACTTATCATAATATGTAACTTAGTTCCCTGGAGATGATCTATGTACAGAATGGCTAATAAATGGTTCAAACCTCCCCCCCAAAAAACACTCAAGGACATTACATCTTTTTTTCATATCTTCTTGTTTCCATCACAGTAGGCAGACGTGGAAATTCTCTTTCTAAGACAGGCTCCTACTTTTTACAGCCAGCTGGGAATGGAGCCAGCTGAGAAAAAAAGAGTCCCCCACATACGGCACTGGCAGCTGTGTGCAAAATTCATGAGCTTGGGAGACAGACTGCTATGGGGACAGGTGTCCAAGATCTAAGTTTAGCTTGAAAGATTAAAACGGCATCTACAAAGAATGTATTTATTGTAATCCTCTCGGCACTAGATCCATCACTGATGCGTATGTACTGGAAACATTTGAGCTATGCTTTTCTTCTGTTTTGTGTGGGATTTCATCCCATTGTGTGCAGGGATCAAACAGGTTCCTGCATTAAGACCACAAAAATGCCCTAACACAACTGAGAGGAATGACCCTGTTGTCTGGAGACGAGTTTAGAGTGGTCAGAATCTGTTTATGAACCAGGCAGAATTTGGGTTTATTTTAGAAGGAGCTCCCATCCCACTCCAGACATTCTCAACCCCATGAAGATGACTTATGGGAATAAAAGCTACAAGGCAGCATCAGGTGTGGATATTGTGAGGCTAATGAACTCAATCATTAGATCTGCATCACGCATGTTTCCAAGTGTTGCTACATTGGTGTAAATCTAGAATAATTCGTTGGGGGAGGGGAGATTCCAGAGTACTGCTGCTCTGACTTTATCCCACCCACATGGTCTTACCCTTTATCCTAAAATGAACCAAATAGCAGTCCTGTTCTTCTTTCACTCCAGTGCATTTGTGGAAGATGAAGCAACATCAACAGCATTGTAAGGATTTATGGGTGAAGCAGAGCAGATTCTTACTAGCTGGAGCTGGTAGATCTTCTAATAAAGAAATGATCCTGGGAAGCCTGGAGATCCAATTTCTAGGTCCACAAGCAAAATCAATCTGTAAGCAAGGATCAGCTGGGTAAAGAGTCATGTGAAGGAATGCAATGATGTGTAATCCTCCATAGACAGAACCTTGTCATATATGAATGGTTACATAGTTTGATAGTCCAGGGACATCAGATTATGACCTGTCCAGAAGTCACAAGAATGCAAGAAAAACTGGACTGTATCAGAACAATGGTCCGTCTAGATCAGGACTGTGGGTTCCAACAGTGGCCAATGCCAGATGCTTCAGAGGCAACAAACAGAACACAGCGATTTTAAATGATCCATTTCCTGTTGCCTCGTCCCAGGTTTATGGACACCCAGCACATGGGGTTGTGGTCCTGACCTCCATGCCTTGAACTTGTCTTATTCTTTTTTACCCCAGTTATACTTTTGGCCTTCACATCTTCCCCTGTCGGAGTTCCATTGCCTGACTGTGCACTGTATGAAGAAATACTTCCTTATTTTTGTTTTGAAGCTGCTGACCTTTTTTTGTCATTGGTTGACACCTGGTTCTTGTGTTACATGAAGGCATAAATAATACTTCCCTATTCGCTTTCTCCTCACCATTCATGATTTTGAAGACCTCTATCAGATGTCCCCTTTGCTTTCTCTAAGATAAATAGTCCCCATTTTTTTAGTCTATTCTTCAACAGATGTTTCATATCCATGATCATTTTTGTTGCCCTTCTCTGTACTTTCCCCCAATTGTAATATTTGTTTTTAGATGGGGAGACCAGAACTGTCCAGAATATTCATGATGAGGGCATACCATGGATCTATATAGAGGCAATAAGATTATCTCTGTCTTATTCTCTATCCTTTTTAAATTATTCCTAACATTCTGTTCACTTTTTTCACTGCTGCTGCTCATTGAGCAGATGTTTTCAGGGAACTATCCATAATGACTCCAAGATATCTTTCTTGAGTGGTTACAGCTAATTTGGACCCCATAATTTTATTCATACATCTGGGATTATGTTTTCTAATGTGCATTGTTTTGCATTTATCAACACTGAATTTCATCTGCTACTTTGTTCCTCAGTTGCTATCTTTTGTAAGTTCCCTTTGTAACTCTTTGCAGTCAGCTTTGGACCTAAGTGTCTCGATTTTGTGTCACCTGCAAACTTTTCCACCTCTTTACCCCCCTTCCCAGATAATTTATGAATTTATGGAATAGCATCGGTCCCAGTATAAATCCTTGGCGGATCCGACTTTTCACCTCTCTGCCCATTTATTCCTACCTTTTGTTTCCTATCTTTTAACCAGCTACTGATCCATGAGAGGACCTTCCATTTTATCTCATGGCAGCTTACTTTCTTTAAGAGCCTTTGGTGAGGGACTTACCAAAGGTTTTCTGAAAGTCTAACTACTCTGTGTCCACTAGATCATCTTGCCCTCATTTGTGTTGCACCTCAAAGAATTCTAGTGAGTTAGTAAGGCATGATTTTCCTTACAAACACCATGTTGACTGTTTCCCAACATTTTGTGTCCATTCTCTACTATAGTTTCAATCAGTTTGCCTGGTATTGAAGTTATGTTTTCCAAGGTTGCCCCTGGAGCCCTTTTTAAAATTTGGCATTACATTAGCTACCCTCCAGTCATCTGGTCCAGGACCAAGCCCCCTGACAGGGTGGGGCAAAGGGAGCAACTGCTGTGAGGCCCAGCAGTTCAGGGCGGCTGTAGCTGCCGGCCCTTTAAATCACCTCCGGCTCCCCATGTGACATGCTCCAGGACAGAGCTGAAGGGCTGGCAAGAAGAGGCTAGCCTCCTGCCCCACCCCTTCTGCCTGAGGTCCCACCCCTTCCAGGATCGCAGAGCTAGGCTCTCCCACTTTGCTCAGAGGCCCAGCCAATTCTGGCAGCACCCCCCCACCCCCCCATTCAGGGCTGAGCTAAGCAATAGGTTACATACATGGTGGAATTTCAAATCTGTGTTCCTTCAGCACTCTGGGGTGAATAGTCTCCGGTCTTGGTAACTTGTTACTGTTTAATGTACCAGTTTGTTCCAAACCCTCCTCTGCTGACACCTCAGTCTGGGCCAGTTCTTC